GTATACCTAAAATGTGCCTAAATCATACCTCAGTCAGAGGTATACCTAAAATGAGCCTAAATTGTACCTTTGACTGAGGTATGCCTGAAATGTACCTTGATACGAGGTACATTTAAGGTATGCCTAAAAAATATCCTATCCTTACTGGGAATACATTTTAGCATTTTATTGAGATACCTGGTGTTTGCATTGTTGTTACCACTATCCATGCTTACTTCTTCAGAAAATAACAAGTCATGATTTTGGCAAACAATATTTTATTTTGCTACTATTACCAATTACTGGTTTAAACAGTACCAAATATAAATAATTATAAGTTAAATAAATTAGGATATATATTATATATTTTACACAATATTTTCACTTTAAACATATATACAAACTAACAAACTGATAAACTCTATAATATATATACAAACACATAATAAAAATGAAACCTTTGACAATTGAATTATATCATTGTACACACATTATCAACATTTTTGAACCCAGTTGATTAACATTCAATCCTTTCTAATATTCTTAAATGTCTGATAAGAATAGGTCCTTCTACAGCATTTGCATACATGAGAAAATTGGTCACTTGGATGATGACAGCTGGTTGTTTTTGCTAATAACGGCTGTTATCTTCGATCTCATAGCACATCTGATTTCACTAAGTGTTGCAGTATTCTGGCGGTTCCGAAGGGAATATGCTGAAAATATAAATAGTTTCGTTTTGTTCACATGTGCGAAATTCTTTTAACATGCTCCAGTAGATGAGAAGGCAACCTGCCTATACAATGCACACAACGGATGGCCAAAGCCTGGCCCAAACAGGTTGTGACCATGGACAGAAGCTTGAAACACAAACGCTTAGATAAAACTTTGCACAAAATTAAGTTTATAACTCAGATTTCAGAACAATATTTCAGTGCGATATGAATAACGGAGACTGATCATGAGCACTACGCAGAACTAGTTAAATACTAATGGGGGAGAATAAGAAAAAGTAACTATAAGTGTTGTATTTCTAAAAGTTGTCCACTTTTTGCAAAAATAAACAGCTGCTTCATATAAAAGGCACAGCTAGGTTTTCAAACATTATTGCAATGCTTATAATCTCATGATTCCCCCAAATACACTATTTTGTGAAGTTTTTTCAACTTGAAATCAATATAAATGTATTTTTTTCAAATTAAAAGATACCATATTTTGAACTTACTCTCTATGGTGTTGATGATTTGTGGGTCCAAGCCAGGCTTCCCATTTACGCCAGTGATATTTCCCACCCTTATCAGGTCTTCTATACTCCAGAACACTGCCATCAGGTATCTGGCGATCCTAGCTGTACTGGATGTCTTTTTCTGACACACTCTGACGTGTTTAGGACATAAGAAGATGCCAGTTGATGGCAGCAACTCTACCATCTGGAAAATGAAATAATTATTAGTGGTGAATTCAACGGGAGTTTATACATATTTCAAGCAGACTGGTAATTTGATGCAAATGCAAATCATACATGTGCTATTTTTGGTTATCAATTACCTTTTTTGCAATACAATACTGCAAGGCAAAGTTACTGATAAAAGTCGACACAAGTACTAGTCTTGGAATTTCATCAATTACTAACATATTTCATCCCTGAGTGGATAATTGAAATTGAAGTTGATGTAATTAGAGAAATTATGTATATCAGTATACATACATGATGCATCTTCGCTAACTCTGGGGCAACTAGTCCCGGGTTTGGTGCATCCTCTTTTCCCCTAAAAAAATAAAGTTTAAGAAATTGTTTCAATAAAGAGCACACCTAGCATGTGATGTTCTTAGAATCCTACTGCGTCATTCTCACAACAACGGGTATGACCATAATGAAACGTGGGAAACTAACATATGTGAACTGCAAGATAAATTATGTTGTTGATGTTGCGAAAGAGGCAAAGATTGTACGTTGCTTCTAATGCTGAAGAATTATACAAATAAGGTATATCCCTTTACACTTCAAATAAGTCTGCTTTTACACATTTCAAACTGTGGAAAATGTATTTATCCCTTTGCCTATAATCCCATTCATCTTAAAGCAAAAGATAAAACTAATTTCAGTGTTGCCTAATTACATTAAGATTTTAATAAAATTTGAATTTAACCTTAATTTGCATAGCAAATATTTGGTCAGTATAAAAACAATCACTTGATAAGGTATTGTGTGGAAGCCTTAATCATTCAACTTTCCTCAGTTCTAACTATCTGGACTACTGCTTACTGATTATATTTTAAACCAACTTAATTTTATTCAATTCCTATCATTAGAAAATACTGGCGTGAATATTGCTCTGTTTTGTATTTTATACTATCTCTTTCATTTGGACTCGGTGATATCGTAAGAATGTGGATAACAGGTGAAGAAAATGCTGTATAAACTCTATTCACGATCATGTACCTGTGGCAGCTGCAAAGCAGGCTTTAAGAGAAGCATTCTCTTTCAACAAGTCATCAATCTGCTTCTGCAGGGTGGAACAGTCATCACACTAAAACAGATGACAATTAGGTCAGTGTCTATTATAGTATTGGAGTAAAAGTCTCTAAATAATACATGCCAACAAGTGGTATATACTGCATTTGAAACAAATAAAAATTCAATAAAATGATGACATTTATACAAATTTTGTATAAAGTATTTACTTGTGTCTTATTATAAAGAAAAAATGTCATTTATAGCAGAGAAATGAGCTTTAGTTTAAATATGTAATACATTTACCATTTCTGATAATGAAAACTCATAATGGTAGAAGCCAATGTTCCATCCAATTGTTATGTTATCAAAGTATTAAACCTAGTACAACTTCAAACGGTCCCTTTATTATGTCATGAATTTCAATGATATAAGCATTTCAGAAACTTAAGCATATAACCAAGCAATGAGAATAGAGAAATACCTGGTTTACTGGTTGATCATCATTTGTTGGTGGAAATTCTTGAAAATTCTCAAGTAGTATCTAATGAGAGAGAAGAATCTTTATATAATGAAACCATACTACCTGAACTACTGTCTAATGTACCAGACTTAATCAAATACATCAAAATTCATAACTGTAGAAACATTTGCAAATTGTGGTGTTGTTTCCCTAATTTACAGGAATATTTTTTTCATGTTATCTGCATTGGTTAAAAAAGGAATTTATTGTAAGATATCAATCTCAGTTTTACTGTTAAGTATTGGTTATATGTTTTCCCGTAAAAACCTGCTAAAATTGTAATAACACATACAGATACGTTTTATTAGCCTTGCATTTGTGGACTTGCAATCTGTCTGATGTTCTTCAGTGTTATTTTTTTGGATTTTTGGTTTTATCGTACATTTCTATATCAGTTAGGAAGAAACAAGGATCTTGACAGCGTGTGGCTGAAGTTATAACCTCCTGCCTTCCAGCTCAAAAACTGCCAGAACTACTGAACGGTAACGAAACGTGACTATTACTTGCCCTATTTGTTATACACAGAACAGAAAAAATGCTGCATTAAGTGATAAACTGTTTTGTGTACTTCTATAGGATGATGTAGTTTATAATTAAAGGATCAAATAACTTGTCCACACTAACCTTGTTTTGTGTCGCATGGGATGCGCACGCATATATTAATATACCTGTTTTTATTATATTTTATTTTACAAAAATTATGAAACAAGTTATACCGACTAATGTTGACCTGGATATGAGCGTGTGGAGGGGTTTTATGTTAGAGGAATCCAGAGTGCCCGGAGAGAATCCATGTGGTCAGACAGGTGACCCCTTACCTGTGCACATTTGATCGGGGAATCAAACCCTGGCCGCCTCGATGAAAGGCGAGCGAGTTATTCACTGCGAAAACTTCGACCACACGAAATTACATTGTGCATGATGTCCAGCCAGAATTCGACAAGTTAATCTGTTCACCCCATGACCTTTCGGTTTTACCGCAGAAGTTGTTTAAAAGTTGTTTAAAAGTTTTAAACATATTTGACCATTGCGACATTGAATATTTGTCAAGGTCATTCATTTGAACAAACTTGGTAGCCCTTCATCCTAGCATGTTACTAGCCAAATATCATTATCCAAGGCCTCTTAGTTATTCAGAAGAAGTTGTTTAAAGGTTTTTTAAGACAATTGACCCCTGTGACCTTGAATATGGGCAAAGGTCATTCATTTGAACAAACTTGGTAGCCCTGCATGCCAACATCCTTCTGGCAGAATATCATCACCCTGGACCTTTCGGTTTTACAGAAGTTGTTTAAATGTTTTAAACATATTTGACCATTGTGACCTTGAATATTTGTCAAGGTCATTCATTTGAACAAACTTGGGAGCCCTTTATCCCAGTTTGCTTCTGGCCAAATATCATCACCCTAGGCCTCTTGGTTATTAAGAAGAAGGTTGTTTAAAGTAAAATATTGATGCCGGACAGACAGACGGACGGACGATGGATGCCGCACCACAGCATAAGCTTACTTGGCTCCAGGTGAGCTAAAAAACAGGATTAATTTTCAATCCAATAAACTTGCTTTATTTTCCCAGTGTATGTAGGAACATGCTGTTATATAATTTTAGGAAGAAGAAAAACTGCCTGTATGCATGTGTTCTGACATGCATGAATTGAATGACAAAACCATTACCGCGAATATCACACTGCTCCCCCTCCTTTAAATGTTCTTGAAAGTATCTATTTACAAGTTCATAAACAGATCTAAATATTATATTCATATCATATATATATATATACATGTATATAAACTTTCTCAGAAAGAAAAAACACTGACAAAAGCTATCACACTTATATTGGTTTCCTCCTCAATGATTTTTTTTTGGCCATTGTCCCTCTAGATATTGTTTCTTCTAAAATAAAGCCGTAGTCACAGATATTGCACCTGAAATTGTATGTCTTTCTTAATATGGTTCTGTTCCTTAAGGAGAGAGGGGTTACTGCACTCTACATCACTGGCATCGCACGAATCAATGTTTGCTTCCTTTTAATTGTCCTGATGTATCCCTTTAGCCGAGTTGAATCACTGAACTCTTTATCGGAAACACCATACGTTTCCATGTTTGGATCTCTACTTGGATGTGATGGGATTTGTAACTTTAGCTGAGCAGAATCAATGAACTCTACACGAGTGCATCTTGGATTCCTCGTCTATATGATGTCATTTTGATGTGTGATTTTAGTTCAGTTTGGTCACAAAGTTCTTTATAACAGAAATCACAATGTTCCAAAATTGTTACCTTTTTGGACTTTATGCTTTTTGACATTTCTTAGAAGATCACGTTTCCCCGAATATTTTTGACCACAGCTATCACACCTTAATGGTTTCACTATTGTATGTGTTTTGCTGTGCGTATCACATTTCTCATAAACTATTACCACATATATCACACTTGTATGGTTTCACGTCTGTATGTATTCTGGCATGCATAAGAAGTTGCCTTTCCTGAAGAAACTCTTTACCACAGATATCACACTTTTACGGTTTCACGTCTGTATGTGTTCTGGCATGCAGAAGAAGATGCCTTTCCCGAAGAAACTCCTTACAACAGATATCACACTTGTATGGTTTCACTTCTGTATGTGTTTTGCTGTGTTTAAGGAGATTACCTTTCTGCGAAAACTCCTTACCACAGCTATTACATTTGTATGGTTTCACTCCTGTATGTACACTGTTGTGTGTAAGAAGATTACCTTTCTGCGAAAACTCTTTATCACATATATCGCACTTGTATGGTTTTACTCCTGTATGTAATTTTATGTGTGCAAGAAGATAACCTCTCTGCGAATACTCCTTACCACAGATATTACACTTGTTTGATTTCTCTTTCCTGTGTGTTTTGCTGTGTGTAAGAAGATTACCTTTCTGCGAAAACTCCTTGCCACAGATAAGACATTTGTATGGTTTCACTCCTGTATGTAATCTGCTGTGTGTAAAAAGATTACCTTTCTGCGAAAACTCTTTATCACATATATCGCACTTGTACGGTTTCACTCCTGTATGTAATCTGATGTGTGCAAGAAGATCTCGTTTTTGAGAATGCTTCTTACCACAGAAATCACACTTGTATGGTTTCACTCCTGTATGTAATTTACTGTGTGTAAGAAGATTACCTTTCTGCGAAAACTCTTTATCACATATATCGCACTTGTACGGTTTCACTCCTGTATGTAATCTGATGTGTGCAAGAAGATCACGTTTTTGAGAATACTCCTTACCACAGAAATCACATTTGTATGGTTTCACTCCTGTATGTAATTTACTGTGTGTAAGAAGATTACCTTTCTGGGAAAACTCTTTATCACATATATCGCACTTGTATGGTTTCACTCCTGTAATTAATCTGATGTGTGCAAGATCACGTTTTTGCGAATACTCATACTTGGTCACAGATTCGGCGCTTGAAATCATCTATGTTTTTCGTTGTATCTGTCTCATTCTGTTCCTTTAGCAGAAAGAAAGTACTTGGCTCTACATCACTTGCATCACCTAAATCCATGTCACCACTTCTCTCCATTTTTATTTCCTTGTGTACGTGTGTCTTATTGTGTACCTTTAGCTGAGAGAAGTCGGTGAAATTTCTATAGCAGACATCACACGATTCCTCGTCTGGTTCGTCCTCCCTATGTGTCTTTATATGTTCCTTTAGCTGAGAGAAGTCAGTGAACTTTCTATAGCAGATATCACATGATTCCTCGTCTGGTTCGTCCTCCCTATGTGTCTTGGTGTGTTCCTTTAGCTGAGAGAAGTCTGTGAACTTTCTATAGCAGACATCACACGATTCCTCGTCTGATTCGTCCTCCCTATGTGTCTTGGTGTGTTCCTTTAGCTGAGTGGAGTCACTAAAATATGTACCACAGACATTACATTCTTCCATGCTTTGTACAATGCTAATGTGTGTACTGAAATGTTCCATTAGCAGTGCAGAGTTACTAAACTCTTTATTGCAGAAATCACACGTTTCCATATTGTTTTGAAGATTATCTGTCTGGTTGTTCCTGTTGTCCAAGAGGTGCTACATAGCAATTTTCATCAGTGCAGTTTTCTCTTCTAAAAATACCACTGCAAATATACCAGTCGCCATCTTAATCTAATGAAGTGAGGTAAATGATTCCTTCTTCGCATTCACAGAAAGAACTGAAACAAAACAAAAAGTCATTAATGATATTGTTACCCCGGTACTGGAACAATAAAATAATAACATCACAATCAGCTGTTAGACAAGAACTTGTGTGAAAATCAGGATTGAAAACCAATTTTAATTAAATCCTAATAACCAGTTTTCAAAAAATATAATTGACAGGAAGGGAGAATAATACAAGAGGCCCTGGTGAGAGGGCCTGTATCGCTCACCTGGACCTTTATGCCCTGCAATGGTATACATGTATGCATATGGCTATAGGTTCATGATCTCATTCCAAAGTAATGGCCCAAAAATTAAGTCCCTTGGGCCCCTCAAATGTCAATACTAATATCATGATTGTGTTTATCTCTTGATACCCAGCAATGGTATATATGGTTATGGGATTGGGTTTAAAAGTTATGGCTCAGGAACAAAGTTCCATGGGGTGGGGCCAGACCAATTGGTCAATTATTCAAGGAATGACCAAGATTTTGTTTTGGTATATACGGTACATACTGAAAAAAATTGTGCACTTTGCATAAATCCGCGAAAGTGCACAATTTATTTTCGGTATATACCGTATATACAAAAACAAAATCTTGGGCATTCTTTATAATTTAATTTAAAAATAGTAGACAAACACGTTGTAAATGCACAGTTAAAGATTTATTTAAATTTTACGTAAACTAAACAATTGCGCTAAAAAAAAGCTGCGTTGTAATTTTGCATTCTGAAGTGTAAAAAGTAGTTCTGTCATCAGTTGTTTTTCTTTTAAGGTATATAGGATATATAACAAAAAAAATATTATGGGGGAGATAGGCAAAATTAAATTATATTANCGCAATATATCGCAATATGGGTTTTGCTGTATCGTTACACCCCTATCAAACACATATATGGTTAAGGGATAGGGATCTAAATCATTTCAAAGTTATGGCCCAAAAATTAAGTCGGTCTACATAACATACCCAATTATCATGACTCTAGTCCAAATGCTTCTCAGGATATTGTTGTTTGAAGTTTTTAACATATTTGAGCCCTGTGACCTTGAAAGTAGGTCAAGGTCAATTTAATGAGCAAACTTTATAGCACCCAATCCAAGGTACCTACTGGCCAAATATCATGACCATGTGCCTTATGGAACTTGAGAAGAAGATTGTTAAAGCTTTTAACCCATGTTGACATTTGACCCCCAACTAGCACTTTAAATTGACCTTTGACCTCATTACTGTCATTAAGGGAAAGATTTGCACTGCTGGTCTACATAACATGCCCAAGTATCATGACTCTAGTCCAAATGGTTCTTAGGATATTGTTGTTTCAATTTTTTGAAGATATTTGACCCCTGTGACCTTGAAAGTAGGTCAAGGTAATTTTAACGAGGAAACTTTATAGCACTCCATCCCAGGTACCTACTGACCAAATATCATGACCCTAGGTCCTCCATTTCTTCAGAAGATGTTGTTTAAAAGAAAAAGTTGACGGCCAGACGCTGCAGTACGGCATAAGCTCACATGGCCCTTCAGGCCAGGGAAGCTAAAAATTGAACATGAACAATGAAGGACAAAGGGGATCCAACATATCAAATTTGAGAAAGATCCATCTAGTACTTCCTGAGAAGTAGCAATAACAAACATTTACTGTCAAAATCCAAGATGGTCGTCTGTGGGCCATATTGGTCGTGCACAACTACGGACCAAGGGGTCCCTATATCAAATTAAAAAAAAAAAATCTCTCAAATTAATGAGTTTCTGAGAAATATCAACAAGAATTGCTTATGGACGGACCATGGACGACAGGAGATTCGGCTGGTGATGGTGGGCTAATAAAAGCATGGAATTAAATAGAAAATTCTGTGTAAAAGTACACAATCTGTGATGTATACTTGGCTGTTGATAGTATATTTCCCCCTTATAGGATAACTGGACGAAGTATCATTTTAAAATGATAAGAAACCAGAGACGTATATACTATACGTATCTCTGGCTTTATATGTCTCTGGTTAAACCCATACATGTTCAAATTTTGTATTTTCAAGTATTTTCTTTGAAAATACTCTGAATTTTCCTTTTATTAAAGTGTTAAGCATTCAAATCATCTGCACCTGGTGGAAATTACAGGTGTTGATGATTCCTCTTGTGATTCCTGGTACATTGTATCAGGTAATGCCATGAGTACAATGGATTTATTCAAACCTAGGCTAATGGTTTTTTTTGGTTCATATCGATAATAAATTACGTCTACCCATGGCCAATTAATTTATATTCATTAGAAGACGTATTTATGATAAGGAAAATAAATAATATTAGACTTTTTATTAGTTTATACTGAATAAGTTATGAAGGTATTGATGAAATGTCATTAAAATGTTTCTATAACTTATGACATCGCTATAACACTGTCACATATATAAATGATAATATTAATAAAATAACCTCTGCAGAAAATCTTCAGAACCTTGGTCTGGTGTTCTACACGTTATACAAATTACTTCCCTTGTATTGCTTTCAGTATAAAACAATACTTTTTGCATATGGTAATGCAATGATAGATCTACAATATGAAACAGAAGGAAAAAGAGGAAAACACTGTTTAACGAATTGCTGGGCGCGCAAAACCATCAATATTTTTCATTCATGTGTTCGAACTGAAATCTTATGTAGCAGAAATCGACTGGGTAGAGCATCCGTCTAGAGTTCGGAAGGTCCTGAGTTCGAACCCTGGTCTGGCCGTGCATTTTTCCTCTCCTGTTACACTTGCATAAAGTTAGGCAATGACATTAAAGGGGCTGGTTGGGAAAAAAATGGCATATTTGCTAAAATGGCATACACATGTTTAAAATACCTTCTTTTGAAATATACCGATACAAATTTTGCTGAAATTCACTCCCTATGAGTAAAAATTATAAATATATTAAAGAAATCCTAAATCGTCACCTCAGTCTAAAACTCTCAATTGACCCAGATCAGTTATGTAATTTTACCGCACGCGCGTCAACAACAAAGCCAAATGTAAACATCGTGTCGAAAGAAAAATATGCATGCAAAAGCCATATGACAGGCACGAGGTATCAATACCCTTATATATAACAACAACATATAGGTAGGAAATACTACACTTGCATCATACATGACCTTTGAAAACAATTATTTACGTATAGTATTGCTGTCTTGTCCGCTAGTTGAGTGGGCACATGACGGCAGGTTATTGTTGTTATCTTCACTGCCTCACTTTCGAAACAACCACGTGACATATATAAATAGATCTGCGCTAAATTTACTCGAGGCTTCCCCAAGACTTCAGTGGTCAAAACTGGACATTGCAAGCAGAACTCGACCATCATATTCACAGCCGTGGTATAACTTTTGGAAGGCCAGAGAACGCATTTAGACCCATTTATTTTGTATTTTTTTCCCCGACCAGCCCCTTTAACTGTATATTTATTTAAAAGTCGCTTTACACTTCGTGTTTAGGTAGCAGTGTACAGTAGCATACGATGGTCTGATGATTGATATTTTTTTATACAATGAACAACCCCTGTAATATTACATGCATCAAAAAAAATCAAAAAAAAATCAGCACTAAATGATGAAGTGTTTATAGGGGGCTTCATAATTTTCAAAAAATAAAACGAGCTTGGTTTGAGACTACAGTTTTGGGCATTTACATATCTGTGTCTAAGCTTACACAACAAAAGCTAGCTCATCATGTATAGTCTATTTTGTAAAAAATCCACCGGAATGACCTATGCTACAATGTGAGTATTTCTGTGACCGATATTTAATATTAGACAGGTTTTAAGAAAGAAAAAATCTACTTGCGGGGGTCAAATTTTGGGTTAAAAAATAAAAATAAATTTTTGGTGTGGTAACCATGGTTTTCACAAGTCCCAAATCTGGGAAAAACAGTTTAAAAAAACCCCACAGTTTTCTTAACAAAATGTATTCAAAATGTAGTTTATATATATATATATATATATATATATATGTAGTGTGTTGAATCCACTATCCATGTTTATCTGATCACGAGACATGTCCTTTTAATGTAGATAAGCTTAACGCTGTGCGCGCGAAACTCCGCTGGCCATTCCCATTTCGAGAAATCGAACCCCTAAAGTTATACTTAGTGCTGACACCAACTCAACACACACTTCCAATAATTCTATGTGAAATGCTGTTAAATTACTACTTACACTGTTTTCCTGCCTTTATCACAGCATAAACTGTTTGGTAAAGCAGAGTTGTTCTTCACAGGGGTGCGATGGCCCGGGCTACGCGGAATACGGATTGACTACACGATAATTGGACAACTCGGCCCTATTTCAAGTACTTCCGGTAAGGCCGACTATACTACGGCCCAAATGCAACTCCCTAATGACTTGACAACCTCAGCTAACTTCGGGTGTTTTTTGTATGTTTTGGCACGGAATAAGTTTATCTAAGTCCGTGGTTTTGGGGTCTTTGGGGTAGGCTAAATAGTGCGGCCGGAACGATTTGCTCCCTGGCGTTTTTTTGAAGAAAATAAATAATTAAATATAAATAATATGAGTGCAACAGGAGCGCGTTGGGCCCAGTTTGTCAGTACGTCAAACTGCACCGGACTCGCCCTGCAGACCAACCCAGGTTCAAATGGGTATCATCATAAACACTGTTATTAAATTATACTATATTGTTACTTTATATGCAGTCTGAGAGTTTGGTCGGTCAACCACCAGCCGGCATCTTCTGCAAGTAGCAATTAATTTAAATAAAACTTGCTAAAACGAATTTTTCAATTGAATTATTCAAAGGCATTATATTTCTGACTTACATTCTTTTTACATTCCAATGTTTTTATGTTGTTTCAACAGAGAGTTTCTGTTTGGTCGGTAGGGATTGGCCCAACCATCAGCCCTTTGGCAAGTAACATTTTACGTTAATACTATATATCTTTAATTGTTAAAATTCCAATATATGGTTAATCACTTCATATTTTATATCATTCAATTACCAGCATTATTTGATTGATTATAGCCTATGGCACATGTAACATTTTATATATATTTTTATAAAAGCAGTGTCTTAGAGTCTTATCAATATATGCAATATAATTATATATGTAACTATTTTTATGAATTGAATTGATTTATTTAGATCTAAGGAACCCCATTGGAATTAAGCTACAATGTGACTTTATGGGTCATCCCAGGTACGTAAAGGCCTAAATTAATCTAATCCAATCCAGTTTAACACCTGACTGATTACTAGTTTTATGGCATCAATAATTATAACTTATAAATAACATCTGTAATAATATATATATGTATGTCCAATCTGCAAAATGTGATATACGTGTATTATTTGCCTTTTACCTGAATACATATTATTATCTTTTAGTCCACATTTTTCTTCCTTGTTGTTCTGTGGTCAGTTACATGGGAATGTGAAAAGAAAGGTTCGTAAAGACAAGACAGCATACATAGACAGCCTATCAGAACAAGCCGAAGAAGCAGCGAACAAAGGAGAACAAGGCAACTTGTACAAGATTACAAAACAAGTTTGCGGTCACAACAAACCACCATCAAATATTCCAATCAAGGACAAAAATGGAAATCTATTGACAACAGAGAACCAACAGGACAGTAGATGGTTAGAGCATTTCAGCGAAACTCTGAATAGACCACCGCCTATACAGAGGAGGCAAACATACAAGTACAGATCCACCACAAATGCCCGAAATTATAGCGGCAATTAAATGTCTAAAAAAATGGGAAGGCACCAGGAAATGACAAGCTTAATGCTGATCCATCCTTGACAGCTAACATCCTCTATCCCTTATTTCAAGAGATCTGGAACCAACTCGTAATACCTGAAGAATGGGACAAAGGAATAATTATAAAAATACCAAAAAAGGAGCCCTCAGCGACGTGGTATTACACTCATTTCCATCCAAAGTAAGATCGTGACAAAAATAACCATTAAAAGAATAGCGAAGGCAGTTGATGGCACCTAACGTGAAGAGCAAGCAGGCTTTAGACCAGGAAGAGGTTGTGTCGATCAAATTTTTACACTACATAACATAATCGAACAATGCGCAGAATGGCAAAGGCAACTGCACTTCAACTTCATGTATAATGTCCGACAATAAGGACACTTAGGGGATTGCAATTTTATAAAACCACGGTTTTTTTTACATCTCCACTTATCACAAAACTTGTTGAAGTGATCTAGAGTTGAACATTCCTTTTTTAACTAGAATAATTTTTCGAAAAATCCATTATTATAGATGTATTTCATAATCTTTTTACTTTGAAATCCGTCTATCTCAATACTTGTATGTTTACATTTTTTAAATATATTTCACACTGTTACTCTTAATCTACACCAAATACACCAAAACAAAAAACCAATTTATATGAAAGTGAAAACAGCATTTTATAATACATTTTTCATACCATATGCCAATGATAAAAAAATGTTAAGTAGTTAATATCTTTTTATTTTCCTAGTTTAGATATTCCTTAGATAGATGTTTTATGTGTAATAATTGTATCTTTTTACTTTGAAATCCACTTACCTCAATACTTGTATGTTTGCTCTATTGCAAAACATTCCCCTAAATTCTGATGTTACATTAGTTTCTACTTCTAAATTGATAACTTTTTGACATACGGCCACCTTTATACTAATAGTGTCTCTTTAATAAGATTCATTTCCACATTTACTTCGTCATTTCCGGCTTTTAAAAAAAAAGGTATGCACAAAGGAATTACATTCAGGTATAATTATCTTTTCAGACATTTTTAAGATAAAAATTTTGGGTGTGATATTTTTAATATGCTCGGGGTAGAGACTAGCTAACTTTGATACATGTTGATTGACACCTGTCCAACTTCATTAGCATATCTTTATGTAAATAAGGTAAAGCACCTTTCGTACAATTTTTAACTCAACATATAATTCAAGCAAATATTTTTATTCCAACAAAATGTATTCCAAAACAGTTCAAACATGTGATGTTATAAAGCAGAATCATTTTCCCTTTACATGTATCTGGTTATACATTTACTGACCTTTACATGTATTTGGTTATACATTTACTGACCTTTACATGTATCTGGTTATACATTTACTGACCTTTTCTTTCGACTGCGGAGATTATATTTAGTCCTTTGGTGGCGTAATGTTATACGCTTCTTCACTTCAACCTCTTTGAAGTTTACAAACTCCCTCGGTTCCGAATCAGGTATTAACACCGATTCCCAAAGTTTTGTACAGCTGTTTAACTCCTGTTTTCCTGTTGAATGTTAATTCAACTTGTACTTTTCTATCGTTTTCTGGATTTACTACAATTAACAATTTCATTTTCAGTTTTTTCACAAAATTGTTTTACACTTGCTTCCATGATTGATTTGGATAAGAATCATCAGAAATTGTACTTTGTGATTCTGTTAATATTTCAATTGAATGAATGTTTTCTATTTCACCGGGCAAATAACAACCTTAAACTAAATTAAAGTATATGATTCAGCAAACTAGTTTTAAATCTCCTGTTGTGAAGGAGACACTTTACTTCTAGCGTTGTTGATGGGTTAGTGTTATGTCACTTATTCTGACACTAGGTCAGCAAATACCCAATTATTTTGGAGATGGGTCTGATCATGTGACCATTATGTGACAAACTAGATGCACTTCTACGGTTACATGCTATTAAAAAAAGCTAATAAAGAAAGAGAAAAACTAGTATGGTCATTTAAATTATGCTGTGGATCAAATGTTTTTGAACTGAATACGTGGCGTTGTCCTTATAATGTTTATGTTACAGTGAAGCACTGCATGATTAAAAATGGTTGTTATTCATATTTGAAGAGTTGGTGTGGTTATTCACATAATATATCTTGCTTTACTACATTTTAGCATTGCTCTGTTGTCTAATTAACGTATTGTTGATAGGGTATATGCACGATAGATAGGTAGCAATTACAGTTCATATATAATTGAAAAGTTTGCATACAAAACATCTTTGAGGGTAATCTGAACTTGTTCTGTAAGAATGAAAGACGGACAATACGAACACATTTAGAGTGGCAGTGAATATTTGGATGGAAAGTTGTCTAATTGGATGTTTGAAAATTGTAGACTCGAGGTTGTCACTTAAATGGAAATACATATATATCTGCTACTAATCAGTACAGTATGTTATAGACGATAATGAAAATATACCATTTAGGACTGATATCTAATTAGCTATGACTTCTTGATGTCATTAGCAAAAAAATCTTGCATGTTGATTAAATAAAATCACCTTTATGTACAGTCTGGTTTAAATACCATGCACATGTACAGCAGTTAAGAGGAGTTTTTTTCTAAGGACTATTTCCTCTTCGTGATTCTAATGGGAAGTATTATTTTTACTATTTTAATAATGGCTTTAATTTCCTCTATATGAGAAGGCCTAATGATAGCATTTTTGATGTACATTTTTTCATGAATAAATATTATGCACGATAATTCCTTGTGCATATTTATGCGTTTTGAATATTCAAAACTGTTACCTCCCTGAAGAATTATGTTATAGTAACATAATTCTTCTGTGGAGAAATTCGTTGCTGGTGTGTTTTCCATCTTAAAACCAAAACCACGGGTGAAGAGTGATGGAATTTACACACTATTTATATAAAATGTGAAGCCCTGTTGCCTGGGTTATGCCGCTAATCCGATTTAGGTATGGATAGTGTAAATGGTCAGTTAGTCCGAATTATTCTGACGTTTTATCGACTTTTTTTCATATTGGTCTGTCGTCGGTTAACGACGACAGACCAATATGAAAAAAAGTCGATAAAACGTCAGAATAATTCGGACTAATGGTCAGTATACCGGTAATGATTGAGTAATTTGTCCTCTTCAGAGACGGTTTTGCTTCTAATTAAATACTACTCTGTAAGAGAGTCGCTCTACTTCAAATACCACATAAAGGTTCGTGGACTTTAATCACAGACTGTTGCCTAGGTAGCGTTTTATTTATAACAATAGACAAGTGCCAAATTATGATAACAGAGACAGAACTGGACACTCAACAGTGTCTACTTGAACTGGACACTCAAAAGATGAAGTGTTTTGATAGACACCTGAAGTGATGCTAATTTTCCTTTAGCTAATCTATACTGGCAGATATGAACATTCATTAAAGATTCACCAAACTGATTTCACTCTTGGTTGTGTGTGTTTTTTTCGGCCATGCCGACTTTAAATGTCCAGTTCAAGTAGACATTTTAGCAAACTGCTTTGAAATTATTCGTTTGCACATAATGACAACTAGAAAGATTTTTTTTTGGGCGGAAGAGTGCCAGCTTTGTATGGAAATAAAATATGACACTTTTTTCATAAACTGTCATATATGTAAAAATGACATTTGTGAGGACTGTTTTATAAAATTGCAATCCCCCAAGTGTCCATATTGTCGGACATTATACATGACTGCGGAAATGGCGCACCGTGCCAGAACTAACTGGCACATTGAATTTAATCGTCTCGGTGGCTTTTACGTTATCGAGACATTTACAACTATAGATATTTGTGTCGAATATGACGATAGGTACCCAGTAATGCGTACGGGCAGTTTTTATGATTCCACTTCTAATGGTGGAAGAGGTTTGGATTCCGAATTTGCCTGGCACTACATCTACCATCAATTAAATCGCATCGTCTTAGATGAAGCACACGAACATGCAAATTTGGATTGAATGTCTGTTGCAATCGGATGCCACTAACATGACTTGTATAATCTACCTACATTTGTATATGATCGCCTTGCATCTTTCACAACAAATGTGCTCATTATGTCACGTTTGCAGTGTCCGTCGTTTTAAATGCTACATAAGGAGATGTGTGATTCTCTGTTATGTACAGATTGTCCTGATGTAATATTATCCATATTTCGATGTAAGATTTCAATAACATCAACACTGACTTAGTGTGGTCATTTAAACTTTTACATGATTCTCGTCTAAATGGATGATCTTGTTTCTAATTGACCTAGTCTGGATACAAATGTGCCTACAAAAGATACTGACTATAATTATGTACAGAGTGTTCTGGGTGACGATGTGCTTGCTGAATGGATCACTCTGTGTTGATCAGCAGGAGATACCGACCAACGTGATAAGTATGTGTTGTGCTTTTCTGGATGGACGATTGTGGTTTTAATACATATATACATATTTGACCTGTGTCACACATGACTGCGTTTAAAGTTTGGAATCTTCCTTGTGTTAATACTAGTGTCTGACAGGACAACAGATAATTACGGGATTAACGGTGACTTTCTGTATATCACTTCCATGTGTGTAAATATTGCCAATCTTTTATTTCTGTGAACTATGATATTTGACACTTAAAGAAATATATTGTATAGACTTCAAGACACGAGGAAATGTATCTGAAACCTCTGGTAAGCTGGTGCCTTTTAAAGAAAATGTAGTGACCTACTTTACTAACCTGTAATCGATAACCTCAATTCTACCTCAATCTACCTCAATCCACCTCAATCTACCTCAATCCACATAAATCTACCTCAATCCACCAAAATCTACCTCAATCCTACTTCAATTCTACCTCAATCTTACCTCAATCTGACCTCAATGCACCTCAATCTACCTCAAGCTTACTTCAATCTAGCCGCAATCTAGCTTCAATTGGATTGAGGCAGGATTGAGGCTGAAGACCCCCACATTACATCGAATCTCATGGTTTGATGATGTTTCACTTATGATGTCCCTAAACTTTCATTTGAAGAAAAGAAAAATAGAAGGTAGTATCAATTACAATGAAGCAACACATGTATTAAAGAATATGAAAAATGATAAAAGTCCCGGGTCAGATGGTTTTACGGTAGATTTTTTATTTATTTTTCTAGAAAAATCTAAATTCTTTAATCATTAGATCAATAACCCGTGGGTAGGAAACTGGGGAACTGTCTATAACCTAAAAACAGGGAATCCTTATTTGTACACCAAAAATAGATAAGCTCCGTCAAGTTTAAAAAAAAATGGAGACCGATTTCTCTTTTAAATGTGGTTTATAAAATAGCTTCAGGATGTATTGCAGAAAGACTCAAGTCAGTTCTAGATATTCATTTACATAATGATCAAACAGGTTTCATTCCGGGCAGATCTATAGCTGACAATACTAGATGAATGTATGAGGTAATGGATTATACAGAGGAACAAGACATACCAGGCATGTTACCTTTGATTGACTTCGAAAAGGCTTTTGATTCTGTATCAAGGTCATTTATAAATGAAGTTCAATTAAGCAGTGGATAAAAACCTTAACAAAAAATATTTAGTGAACCAAGGTGAAAACTTATCTAAACCCATAAAATAAGGAAGAGGTTGTCGTCAAGGAGACCCGTTATCACCATATATTTTCCTTCTTTGTGCAGAAATATTAGCAATGAAATTAAGAATAAATAAACATACGAAAGGCGTCAAAATCAACGCTACAGAACATCTGATATCACAATTCGCTGACAGCACTACTCTTATTCTAGGTGGCACTGCAATATCCACTTAGATATGTTATAAAAGAGCTTAATTGTTTTTGGGAAATATCGGGACTTAAATTAAACTACACAAAAACAAGAAATATGGATAGGGAGTAAAAAGTACAGTATAGAAAATTAGTCAATAATCTTGCTCTATCTTGGGGGTTAACACATTTTAATCTGTTAGGAATTCACTTTGATGTTGATCTGAATAAAAAAGTTCAATTCAATTTTTTTTTTTAAATTGCGAAATTAAAGTCATTAAATATAACTCCAATAGGCAGAATTACTGTTATAAAGTCTCTACTTTCACCAACACTTACACATTTATTCATAGGTGTACCTTCATCTAACCAAACTATTATGAGAGAAATCCAAAAAATGTTTTATGAAAACTTTTGGGGAAGTCCAATAGCTGAAGTTAAAGGAAGTGTCATTGTCAAACATCATGAAGAAGGTGGATTGAAAATGATTAATATCAAACATTTTGAATGGCTCTAAAATCAACATGAATAAGAAATATGTGTCTTAAGGATTTATATTGGCAGACACTACTGTTTATAAAAAATAATAAGAATAAACTGTTAACTTAAGGAAATAAATATATTGATTATATTACCAAAAATATACTTCATAACAAATTTTGGATTGTTGTTCTTATTGCGTGGAATACATTAGGGGGAAAATTGATATAACTCAGCCAGATCAAATATTATCTCTACCCATTTGGTATAATGACTTAATCAAAATAGGCAATAATACTGTGTATTTTAAGAAATGGTTTGATAAAGTTTTTTTTTTATAAATAATCTTATTAAGTTAGATGGCATTTTTTTTCAACAAAATTTGTTTAATGAAATTTTTAATTTTAAATACTAACTTTATTGATTATAATGGTCTCATTTTTGCAATAAAAAGATTAGGCTGGAACATTGAAAAAAAAACCTTACACTACCATTGATACCACTGCACATTAATATAACTATCAAACATGAAAAAGGGTACAAAAGATATGTACAATGTGCTGATGATGTCCTCGCCCAGGACCGTGTACGTTATAAGATGTATTTATATATATAAAGTTCGATTTAAAAACCGTCATGGGGCTTCTCTTTACTGTTCGCATTGCTAACTTTTTGTACTTACATCAGGATCAGGACCGTATATGCTAGCGCTAGATATATTTAGCTATAGTTAATACAGGGGGGACCAAGGAATTAATTTTGGGTGTTGCCCAAAACTTTAAACTCAGAAAAAAACAGGGTTTTGCGCTTATCTAAAACTAATAAATCAGAATTGTCATGTCGGTTCTTCATGTATATTACTTTCTGCCGACAAATATGTATAGAACTTTATTGCTGAGATTGGGACAATTAACGTTATACTTTCTTCTTCTGAAGATGTACATGTAATACTATACTATTTCAAGCACTGCCGAGCGTAGAAGGCAAGAGTTTATCGGACATTATTTCCATTGACAAAAAGATCGAGTTAGGCGTAGAATAGTTTTCTGAGTTTGTGGTATTCCGTCTTATTTACGTCACTTGTTTGTGAGAGTAACGTAATCAATTTTTGAGAAAACGACGTAATTTTCTCACACAGATCAATGACGCTTTTCTGTAGTTCAGCTGATAATACATGCGAATCTAAATGTACATGTAGTTTAGGCGAGCATGTTCGCAATTTAATATTAATTTATTTTGTCATAAATATGAATTATGATTTAACTGTTTGTCTTTTATTGTGAAATAGTATGCATACATATGTACATGTACAATGGCAACCATTTGAATGACCATAAACACTGTTATCTTCCTTTAGTTTATAAATGTGTATAATGATAAACATCTAACGTTACGTTATTTCCTGATCATGATGTCCCCGTCGAGGACCGTATACGTATACGCTATACAATGTATCGACGATAGTTATAAGATAATCATGCTCGAAGTCCGGACGAGTTATCCTATCTTGACGGTCCTGCTCAGCCCCGGTCCCAGTGAGAGACAGTACTAGGACTGATGTAGCTGTCTTATGCTCTGTCGAACCGTGATCCGTGTGGACGTCGCACGTCATATTGAATGCAGAACAACAGTGCATTGCTCTTTGGAAGAATGCTGTGTTAGAGGGGAGAAGAAAGTGTAAGTTACTACTAATGAAATGGCATATACAGCATTATTGAACATGTGTGTTTAGTTTTGTGTCAGCAGTACACTAGGGGTTCGAATTTTGGAAATTGGAATGTAGCATCGCGATGGGGTGACGACCAGTTTCTGATCCTTTAAGTTTCAACGAGCCCGCTAAAATATGTTATAGTTACCCTAAATTTCAACCAATGGTAAGTCATATTTAAAAAGACTCTTATTAAAAATCAGAATTTGTTTATGTAATTGAAATATATTGAACTTGTACATAAATGTACATTGTCTCTTAAAAAGGTACCTAACCAAGTTAATGTAGTCGATAATAAGGCATTGAGGCTGAATGTCTTCATAAAAATAGCTCACCGGACTGATACATGCCTATCCTATCTCTGCAACCAAACTGAATGCTACGAAATGACAAATAATTTTAAGTTTATTTATATACCTAGGTCATGCGGAGCTTAATTTCTCTTTAACTAGCTGTGGAGAGGCTTAAAAGTAGATGATTATGGTTATGGGAATGTACAAAAACCAAAGTAAAACGTCTGTAACATATTTAACTGGTATAGATATAGATGGGTAAAACCATAGATCCATGATTATTTTCTCCTGCGAACAGGTAAAACTCTCACAATCACTTGTCTGTAACAGGAGAGGAAAAATGCACGGCCAGAACGGGGTTCAAACCCGGGACCTTCCAAACTCTAGACCGACGCTCAACCATATGAGCTATCTGGTCGCTGACGATCGACCCAGTCCAGTTCCACTACATTCTTCCCTCCTTTAACAGAGTCTTCGACACCGAAGACATACGAGACCCTTTACCACCTTCTGTGGGTATATTTTGTTGGGCGCCAAATGTAACAGGAGAGGAAAAATGCACGATCAGATCGGGGTTCAAACCCGGGACCTTCCGAACTCTAGATGGACGCTCAACCAATTGAGCTATCTGGTCGCTAGTTCCGCTTCACTGATTATGGTCCGTTTTAGCGGACTATGACCGATCATGCATGATGTATTCTGAATTCCTGTTTTCTGATCGAACAAAATTAAATAAATATTGTCGAATCTGTTCAAATTACATGAAATTATAGCCGTTAAAATAAAAAGTTAACTTTGAACTATTCGAGTTGACATCAGCAAAAATATCGACAAACAGTGGTATTGACGGAAGTTAAATTGTAATGTATCAGAATGTGGAGGGTGGATTGAAACTGCAATTACGGATTAATAGTTCGAAAGACCACCTGGTCAAACATTTTTGTTTTGGCACATATATATAGGTTATACATCAGTTAAGTAATAAATCAGGGATCGGTAGCCAGGTCGCGATGATATAATGAAATTGTAATCGCAGTAATTTCATGACAAAACACACGTCTACCAGCGATGTGACGGTAACATTCCGTGCTTCGTGTACTGTTAGGATATTATACAGGGTCGGGGCCTAAAGATGTTTGACTGGCGTGTGCACATGTTTACAAGAAAGAAGCTCAATCATTGGTGACATGTGGCTTATTTATGAACAAATTGTCCGACATCGATGACAACAATTGTTGCACATGAGTACTACCCGTTATTGAGTATAGTTAAACTCTGTCGAAGTGAAAATAGATCAGTTTAAGCGAGTTACGCAGGGCTATTACTGCATCGCCGATAGCTAACTTTGATCAATAATTACGTTATTTCAGTACTCAAATTGTGTGTTTGAACAATCTGAAACGTGTGTAAGCCGGGTTCGACCTTTCATTAGACAGAAAATTATTATTTTTATTGTTCAAAAAGTGTGTTTGAACTATCTGCCTATTCAAACTGGCGGGAGGTTTACCGTATATTACTACTAATGCCCCCATGTTAACTACAATTTCCATATTTGGTCATGACACCCATATTTAGAAGTCTGACCTATATTGTAAGAGAGACGAAGTTTTCATCATGAACCAATTTCAATGAAATTTTGCAGAAACTTTCCATGGCCAAAGGTCAACAAAAATAGTGGCTGATTTGGTCCCCAGCCCCCAGGGGCCTGAGGGGCGGGGCCAAAAAGGTTCAAATTGACTAAAATTTAAAAAATCTTTTTCTCAAGATCCAGATATGGTAGAATCAAATACTCTTCATAGATGAAAGGGTCTTAAGGTGCTTTACCAAAATTGTGAATTTCATGACCCTGGGGTCTCACGTTTTCCCCTGGGGAGGGGGTAAACTTTACCATAGTTTATATAGGAAAATCACATTTTGGACCAACATTTGCTTACTTGCCATTGGAAGTAATTCAATTTAGGTTAGCATTATCAGTATTGGGTAGCAGTTTGATGGTATGCACATATCAGCCCTGACTGACCCCAAGGGGCTGATAAGTGGGGCCAAAAAGGGTTGAATTGACTGAAATTTCAAAAATCTTCTTCTCAAAGACCCAGATATGGTAGAATCAAACACTCTTCATAGATGGAAGGGCCTTGAGGCTTATGACCCTAGGGTCTCATGTTTACCCCCTGGGGAAAGGGGGAGGGGGCAAAATGTATTATGGTTTACAGTGGCAAATGATACTTTGAATATTACATGTTAATAACTTGATTGGAAATATAACCCTGAGTTGACAGTTTGATACTTTGAAAATTTTGAGCCAGCCCTGCTACCCCCAATGGCTGTAGGTCGGGGCCCAAAGGAGTCAGTGTGCTAAAATTTCTTCATATTCCTTGTTTAAAAAATCAGAGGTGCTAACTTGGTAGTTTCAAATACTTTTCAGTCTTAAATCTGTAAGCTAGATTTTTTGTCGCTTTGAATAATATTTCTGTCCATGTTCAAAACAAAATCAACTCTCTGTATAATGTTTATAATCTAGATTAAATGAAGTATGCAAATACGAAGTTTCAAATTCATTCGACAATTGGTACAGGAGTAAGGCATAACAGCACACATCAATATAGTCGGTTGTGTGCTATTTAAATTGAAAATTGGCCATTTTGAAGCAAAATTTTCAAAAGCCTCTGCATGCACAAAACAAATAAATATTTGACACACTTAAATATTTTCATACCAGTGTTCATTCCAAGATAGAAATTTTTGTCTGTCACATGAGGAGGCTTTCATTTCTGCTTGCTTACTATCCAAAACACCATATTTTGGCTATTTCTATATAGCAATGAACTTTTGTTGCTCTGGTAGGGCATCTAAAAAATTTCATGCACATTGAAAAAAAAATCTGAACCAAGAAAGGTATCCCCAATTAACCAATATGATTTTTCAAGTTGAATTTTTCACTTTTTTTTATGAGGCCTGAAATGAGCCTTAATGCCCAAAGTCCTTTCTATTTTCTATTGCCTTTGCTATGTAAACTTGATAATTGTACACCATTTTAGGTGGATCAACAGAACCTGTTTACATTACAATCCTGTGCATTGATGTGAACCCATGTGAAGGCAGGTGGTGCAAAAATATTCATTCTGGTTTGGTTCACACTAGGCTTGCTTCACTGTAAGGCCCGGGTTCAATTTGATACCTGGCCGGGCCGAATGAAACTTGGTATTAGTACAAGTACTAAGATACCTGCAGATGTTAAGTTGGCAATTAAATTAACATCTTTGTACGAAATCATTGTTTTTAGGGAGAAAGCATGTCAATGACCATACGAGAACATGAAAATCAAATCCATTACCCAGAGGCACTGATCATGATTTAAGGGTTATTTTGGAAGGAGAAGCAAATCTGTTTGATTACTCAGGACTCCCCATGATCAGAAAGGGTCCTGTACATTTGTGAGGCAATAGTAAATAGATTTATAGCCCTTCTGTCGTAAGATTTGTTAAGTTGGAAACATTGTTGCACTATTGTAAATTCTACTCCCAATGGTAGAATTTCAAAGCTTCCATAACTACAAAATGATTGACCTTTTGTTTATACCTCTACTGGGAATTCTGTTTAAAATCTGTTTCAAATGCATAATAAAATTGCAAAATTAATATGTAAATTACCCGTATTCTAAGACATACAATGTCGTTGGAAAGAGTTGAAAAAATATAGTTAATTATGGCAAGCCAAGAGTATACTAAATGTAAAAATTAGGCAGTATACAAAACATTTACAGCAGTTTTGGTTTAGAAATTGTTTGCCATGGCAATAGATATTCTGCTGACCTTTTTCAGTTCACCTTCCAAAAGGTCTTGCGAGCTTATCCCGCGGTGCAGCGTCAGTCGCCCGCAATCCATCGTTTCCTGTAACTTTTCCTTTAAATGCTACATTGTATTAGTCCTGAACAGCTTAGATGATTCTTACACAATTTTGCCCTCCTGGGGGCAGAGAAATGGTGCCCAATAGGAAAAAATGAGGTTAATCTTAAAAATTCTTTTCCTTCTGTACAACAAAATTTGTTCCCAAGGGAAATTCATTTTTTTGTAAACTGAGGGTGTGACTTCACTGGAAGCAGAGGGGCGTGGCCCATTAAGGAGAATATAGGGGAAAATGTTTAGAATCCTCCTTTTGTATGAAAGGATAGAATCGAGCATCCTTTGGGGACGAGGACTTACATTTGTATAAATGGAAGATGTGGCCACACACACACACACACCCCACCACCAACACCACCACCCACCCACTGGAGGCAGAGGGGAAGTAAAGCTTGGGCACCCTTATTTGGGAAATTTAGGAATATGTATTTAAAAAAATCTTCTTTTTCTGTACAAAAGGATGAATTTTAACCAAATTTTGTCTAGGAAATTGTTGGGCAATGAGAATTCAATTTTTAGCCCACTATCATCTGATGGTGGGCTATTCAAATCACCCTACGTCCGTGGTCCGTGGTCCGTTCGCCGTCCGTTCGTAAACAATTCTTGTTATCGGTATTTCTAAAGAAGTACCAGAGGGATCTTTCTCAAATTTCATAAGCAGGTTCCCCTTGGTCCTTAGCTGTGCAGGGCAACTTTTGAGACTGATCGGATAAACAACATGGCCGACAGGCAGCCATCTTGGATTTTGATATTGAAAGTTTGTTATCACTATTTCTC